CTATCATGAAATGAATGTTAGACCTTTGTGATGTTTACACCCGGTTTCTGAGTGTCTCTATTTATGACACGCATAAACCCATCAGTCTGTGAGCATCTCAGGGCTATGCCTTTTCTTTGATTTTTTTGGGGTCTAACACAGTGATTGCCATTAAAGGAATATTCTGCATATAGTTACTGAATGAATAAATGAACAAAAGAATGAATAATTAAAGATTTCAAACTATTTTGACAAAAAGTTAACTTGGAAAGGTGCTTCTAAATTTGTCTACAATATATTCATTCCAAACACTTCATGGCTGTTCTTCTAACCACAATTTCTTCACATTAAGTGGCATCTCGTTTATTTTTTTGCTACCTCTTATACCATTTTTATTTAAGTAGCTTCTGATTTATCATAGGCCCAAGCTAGGTATACACTAAGTAGACCAGTTTATTCATATACTATTGACTCATACACATTTAGCTCAGCTGAAAGCTCAGTGTTGTATATGAAAGAATTCAGAATGTCATTGTTACAGCTCATACTCTACTTCTAGGAATACTGTTGCAAATCCCAGGAAACATCCATGTCTTAAACATAGGAAAACACTGTTAAAATCAAAGACTTTGCATAAGCCTTGGCAAATATTTCTAACAAGAGCTTATCCACAGTAAATACTTGCCTCTTAAGAGACACAAATGACTTGAAAGCTTGTGTTCCTTAGCTGACATTAATCTTTAGCTGTGTAACCTTGGATAGGTCTTGGAGGCTCAATTTCATTGACTCAAAAATAAAAAATCCAAATAGTTAGCTTCCCTTCATAGTCTACTATGAAGATTAATTGAGGCACTTACATATGAAGTTGCCTGGTGTCCTTATATTAGGTAGCACATATGTAACAGGTGCTATTATCATGGTTAGATCTGATCCCTAGTTCTATTTTGGGTACTCTTCTAGTCCCTAAGGGCCAAGGCCTTAAACGACTGAAGTCTCTAGTTCTTGAAAAATGTTTTTCTCTTTTAAATGAAGTCAAATATACAACAGATCCAAGTCAATTTCAAGGTTAAGCTAAAATCACCAAAGCAATTATTTAGGGAGAGTTCAGGGAATTGTGAATAAGATTAAATGATCACTTTAATGTTTGAACAGAAAATAGGTAAATTCTCAAGGACTGCTGTAATACTTCTTTCATGACATGACTTGATGTGAATTATTTTCATTTCAAGAAATATCTAGGGTAATGAAGGTTTTTTTTAATATTCTACAAGAAAAATGACTTTTATTTTTCAATGAGAAACCATTCTCCTTACTCTCAGATTCATCATAGTTAAGATTGTTTCAATGATATGTGAGATTGCACTGTGACAGAATGTTTCTCTACTTTTTCATCTTGCATATTTTTCTACATTTTTATTTCTTCCACTTTATTGCTGAGGTCAGTGACACTGGACAACACCTAGCACTTGCAAACCCAACAAAAGTTTCCAGAAGGGGAGGAGAAAAATCAATCAAAATCTATCAAGGAACAGCAAAAATCTGCATAGGCAGTGAATGAGTAATACTGTGTTGGTCTTTTTTTTTTTTTTTTACTCTTAACTAAAATCATAAGAAAACATAATTCTAGAGCCCAGAGGGCAGGTTGGCACTCATTATTTTAGTGAAACTCCTTATGAAGCCCACATTTGAATTCTAGTATTGCCATTTATCTAGCTGTGAACCTTGACAATTCATTGAATGGCTCCAAGTTTCATCTTTCTGCTATGTAAAATGGGGACACAATCACTACCTCAGAGAACACTGCAAACATCTATTGACTTTGTATACCTTTGTCCAGTCTTTTCTCTCTGTCCAAAAGGAAGCAAACTGAGAGGTTATACTAGGGAGTTAGAACTAAAACACTAGCCTTAACTTGGCATAAAATAGCACCTGGTAAGGAATCTTAGACATCTGGTTCATTGGTATTACTTAGTAGTATAAGGTGAAATCAAGGTTCTATGTACCTACTGAGAAATCCTTCTGCAATGGGAAATGAAATAACTAGTATTCTATAGAATCTGGACTCTCTTGCCTGTATGATTCATTTTCAAAGATAAATCAGACATGTAGCTTTTCTTCCTCCTTTGCAACTTTCTCCCAGCTATAATTCTCTATCTCTTTTAAACTTACCCACTTCTAACATTCAAAATAACCATAATCCGACATTCTTTCTATAAACTATTTTGAGTTGTTATCTGTAAGCTTAAAACTCAACATTGAACTAAAGTAGAAAGAAACAGACAAGAAGAGAAATACAGAAAAGCATTAGCCTATGTCTGATTGAAGGTTTGTACACATGTATATCCATTATTGTTTTTCATTTCATTCTGATATTCTGATATCTATTGCTCATTCTGTGTTTTTCTTTGGAAAATAGCCTTTTCTCATACACAGCCAGAACAACTCTAGCATTAATTAGAAATTTCCTAGTTTCAGTTTTAATATAATTATGGTAGACAGTGTTTATGTAGAGGGTCGGGGGTAAAGATGGTCCCATTTAATTTAGTAATTCAATAACTATTCTCTGACAGCCAACCACATCCCGGGTATACTGCACTGATAGTAAATTGGGCAGGTCCAATCTCCACCCTCAATGTATTCCTAGCCCAGTGAGAGAGGTAGACATTACAAAACCAACCCCATACTACAATTAATACTTTGATTAAGGACTGCTAAGGCAGATACATACAAGGTGCTGAGACAGGAGAAAAGAGGAGAAACCCGCAAGAGCAAAACTACCTGGACCCAACAAATAGCTCTTCTGTGACAACCCCAAAAAGATTTCTTAAGCTCTCTATAGGAATGCGGCACCCAAAACATTGAGAAACAAATCCAAAAGAAAGACATGGTTTGCACTGGAGAGGTAAAGGAAAGGAAGTCATTGTTGCTTATCACTGTCTTTCCATTTAATCTTCACAAGAAAGGCCGTTCCCAATCTTAAGGTGGTGGTCAATACATGAAGCATATAGTTTCAGCCTCATCAGTGTAAGTTAACAAAGGTATGTATCAGCTTAGAGTGCAATCTGAAAGTTACCAGGCTCCATCCTTTTGTGGAAAGTACATGTGAGTTCAACTTCTAATTATACATGTTGCTTGATCCACATTGAGACTGGAGGTGAGAATCTGGATCCTTCTTGCCTTTGGAGTTCAGTTTGCAGTAAACAAACTAAAGCCTGTATCAGCAGCACCCTGCGGCAGGGGAGGGAACACGGGCAGGACAGCCAATTCTGGAGAGAAGAATGTACTCAATCCTCCCAAAAACCAGGAAGCTTTTATTAGGGCTGCCAGAAAATAAAGTGTTATTTCCTGATGTCTCCAATTAGCAGGAGATGAGCAGCATACACAGGAATAAAGAAAAAGACAAGTTTATAATGATAACTTTGTCTTTCTTAGACAGTATGTTTTTGGAAGTGACAGACAACTTAAATCAATTGTGCTTCTCCCTGCTTATTAGCAGTGACTCCTCACTGCATTAGCATAAGTCTATCAAAAGACAGGAAAGAACATCTCAGTACTTTTGAAGTCTTAATGAGCCTAATGTGTTACTGGGAATCAGAAGAGTTTCATGTGCTGGCCTAGCGGTCAAGTTTTATAATGTGGATGTTAGTGCAAGGTTTGCATTAACTACCTGGTCTAGGATAAGTCTATCTCTGAGCATCCAGAATAATATTATGCTTTCATGATACTTCACAGGAGTAGAATTGGGAAGAAAAAAGCTAGAGCAGTAAGTATGAAACATGCATTATCACTTGTCTGCGACAAGTGATGACTGTTGACTGTGCATTAATTATGCCACATTGACTGTGTGCTCAGGAGATGCTGTCTCCCAGCCCCCTGAAGTTTATTCACTCACTCCTTCATGCATCTGCTCAGCCCATGAACATTCACTGAGGGCCCGTAGGTTCTAGATATGGCTCAGAGCTGGTAATGTAGAGATAGACATACTCACTTCCAAGTCCTCAACTTGGCATTCAAGGACCTCCTTGCAGCTTTGTTCAAATCATAAAAGTAGCAAGGGGATGAAAAACAATGCTTATTTTAGTCAGTTCAAAGAGGAACTTTGTGGCTATACTGGGGTAATTTTCCCCAAGTCAAGAGTTATATATTAAATGTCTTAAATATTGATTGTCAGATAAAGCGGCACAGAATCAATCAGAAAAAAAGGGCTGGAGAATTTCACTGGAGCAAAGGGCACAGTATACAAAGTCAGGGATATTGAGATTTGATTTGATCAAAGAATTTTTACAAAACTGGTTATTGCAACAGCCAGTAAACAACCTGTGTGGAACCCAGAGAGAAGCACTGAATGTCTAGACTGGTTGGCAGTTTCACCCTGCCCCTCCTTCCTCTGGCCCTTGTTCTAGCAGAAATCCATTTCCAGATTTTGGGATCATAAACAGAGGACATGGAATAAGAGATAAAAGAAGACTGTCTGGTGCCCAAACATGCCCCTGCCAGTTCTACATGGCATCCACTAAAGTGGCCACTGGCTGATGTCCCAGGTGTAAGCATGTCAGTCCCTAGATCAGTGAAACCAGGCCACTCAAATTTCGGGCCTCTGTGCTTGTGAAAGACAAGAACATAACAGTGTTCCCTGCATCACTGCTGTCTGCTTCTTAAAGCCTATTCTATCATTCACCTGATTATCCCTCCCACATATTATGGGAAAAGTCCTATCTGGCAATTTCAAGAATTCTGCCTTTAAAAAAGTTCAAGAGAAATATAAAAGGGGATTCAATGTAGGCTATTTCAGAGGTCATACAAGAAGACCAACTACATTTATCCATCTTGCTAAGCTGCTGACTTATACTAAGAAGCTTACTGAAGCTTTCTGAACTTGTTTTGTGCACAGTCTTTTAGAAGGAATCCAAATTCAGTAATCAGAGCACAAGACCAGATTCTAGAGAATGTTTCACTGACATCTGCAACTGTGTCTCCTCAGTGCCCAATTGCTAACTTGGCAATTTTTTTTTTTCTCTCAGTGGTTATTTCATAGATGAGGCCTGCCTTTTGGAACCTAAGCATGTTACAAGAAGATGGCACATTAGAGACTCAGCTGGACAAAACCACCTTAACAGAAAGGGAGCCCATCTTTGGATCTTGCGATAAAGAGGTGAGCCTCCCTTCAGGGGAAGCAGCTGAGGGACAATGATGCAGGTCCTTCTCTGCCTAGAATGACTTTTCTCCCTTCACCCTTCAAAGTCCAACACAAAAGTCACCTCCTTGGAAGCCTCCTGATCGACTATCTTGCCTCTACATAGGCAGAGTAAGTTTTTAACACTTTTCATGTAGAAGATTAATAATTTACACATTTGCTACATGTTCCACACTGTGAACCACTATAAGGTCAAAAATTCCAGTTGTTATTCATGCACATGTCTCTAGGCTCAGTACCACCTCTGGCACAGTCTACACACTCATAAAATATTTTCAAAATGGTACCACCCTAATTTGGAATGAAATTAGAAACTCTTTCTTTTAAGCGACAAAATAAACATCCAAAGTATAAAATCTACTTTTACTGCACAAGGTTCTAGAGGATTTGGGTTAAGAAAAAATATTTCATTTCTAAAATAAAACCTTACCAGCTTGGATTAATTAGGACGTCAGCCTTGATCAGCAATTAGAAAATATTATAAAGATAGCTTTAAACTTTGAAAGATCCACTAGAACCAAAGATAAACTAACAATGACCAGTGCTTGGGTAATTGCTTAAAAGAACACATAAAGATAAATCAGTCTATGGACTGCCCATTTACATCAATTAAGTAAGTCTTAGTTATAATCTTACTTCTGGATTCATTTGCTTAAAAAAAAAAAACAAACAATAAAACTGGCTTCCCCTCACCTTGCTTTTTTTTTGCAGGGGGTAAGGAATTTCTTTGGGGTTGGATAAATCATAATCTTTGGTTCATGATACCCTTTCATCTTGACTCACGCATGGGCTGCTTTCATTTATTTATTTAATAATTTCTAATAATGTAATAAATGCTCAAAAAGCACTACCTAATGTCTAATTATGTGTTACTCTCCATGGAGCCCATCCACTGTCTGCCTAGCCCAAGGCAAGTCCCATCCTGAAACTCATGGCTATCACTCCTTGCCTGTCTTTTCTATACAAATTTTATTGGATCTAGCTATATTCTAAAAGTATATTTTTATACTGGTTGTTTTAAACTCTATTAAAAGTATATTATGCTGGGGACCTACTTTTTTCACTTAATATTTTATTTAGCCACATCTTTGTGTTGATTATGGCTCAATTCTTTTTTAACTGCTGCCTAACATTCCACTTGGGGACTGTACCACTATTTATTCATCCACCCTCTCTCTGATGGTATGTGGGTATTTCCAGGATTTTGCTATTGCTTACATCATAGCTCTGAACATTCTTGCTCATCGCTGAGAGCCTCTCTTGGATATTAAACCTAAGGTGTATACGTGGGTCAAGTAGCATGCAGAGATTCACCCTTAGAAAGTAATATCCAATTGTCTTCTAATGTCAAATTGTCTTCTAATGTTTACTCTTACCAGCCACATATAGCTTTTGGTCCCACCACTTGGCATTGTCAGATTTATTAACATTTGCCATTGTTAACAGTCTGGAAACAAATGTTACCTTAGCATTTATGAATCGGTACAATGTAATCAGTGTTTTGAAATTAAAAAAAAAATGTATTTGATTATAGAAATAACTTACACTGCAGAAAATTTAGAAATATAGAAAAGCATAAAAAGGATAAAAACAGTTTGTCAAGTTTCAATATTCATTTATAATGAAGGAATTATTATAAGAGCAGTCTATAATCACTCTTTAAAACCACTTCCAGACATGACCTACTATTGAACACAGCCCTGCCAGTGTTCTAACCAGTTAGCTTAATCCCCAAAGAGCCAGTGCACTGTCTCAGGTGCCCAAGAAGCAGCAAAACTCTATCTAAACATCAGAATTAAAAACTGAAGATGTGTTTTGAAATTCATAACATCTCCCTTATGGGAGGTTCATGTTCTATACAGTGGTTTCAATCAATGCCGCTTTTGATCTGGGAGGAAGGGACTGGAAGTTCTTATTAAACACGTAATAAAAACAGTTCTTTTCTTTTAAGCCCATTTTCAGAAAGTCCTTTGTAGCATTGTACTTCCTTTTAGCAGCACGACACCATTAAGGAGAGCGAAAACGGTCTGCAGAATAACAAGGACACCGTGGTCAGGATGTGGATAATTGAATGAAGGTGTTCCCCAAGGCACAGAAACTCAATTTCCAGGGGTACAGTGTATTTCACATCTACTAGAGAAAGACTGTCAGTAAACTGGCCCTGCATGAACAGAGAGTCTGCCCACAGCTTATCTTCCAGGGACTAAATTGCAAGTGCACACATCTCACAATGGGCACTATGTTAAACAGTGGGAATTCTCATAGAGGGACACAGCACGGGCTTCCTATTGCATCACCATCTGCTTGGGAAGATACACAAACCAGGTAATTATGAGAAAAGAAAAAAATGAAATAAGAGCTATGACTAGGTGCCACAGAGGGGAGCGAAAAACCTGATTTGGACATACAGGGGCCTGGGTGATCCTGAAAGCAGTGTGAGATTCAAAAGGGCTATAAAGGGTAATGAGACAGGAAATGCAGGACAGCAGCCCATGCATCCAGAGAGTCAGTTAGTTTACTCAAGCATTTAGTAAGCACCCAGGTTATCTTCACTGATACTGAAGCTTCTGAAAGGCCGAGGAGAGGTACCATTTGGCAGGAATTTGAAGGATGAGACAGACCATCTATACTAACAGTAGTGGACAGGACCTTGCAGTGAGAAGGAATGGCATATGCAGAACTTTAAGGTAGGAACATCCTTGGTCTATCCTAGGAGGCGAAAGGAGGCTGGGGTCCCCAGGGAAGATGCCAAAAAAGACTGGAAGGACCACTAGAGGCAGAGAGACTGATTTACACAGGCTTAGAGGCCAGGATAAGGAATATGAGCTGAAGTCTGAAGACCACTGGCAACTCTGAAGGGATTAAAGTATGCCTGGAGGGCTTTGTGATGGTGGGAAAGCAAGGAAACAGAGTCTAAATAAAATACATCTTTGGGATGTGGTATATATATAGTGGAGTACTATTCTGCAATCAAAAAAGATAAACTCACGCCATTTGCGGCAATGTGGATGGAGCTAGATGGGATTATGTTCAGTAATATAAGTCAGAAGGCAGAAGAAAAATTGGATGGTTTCACTTATAGGAGGGAAATACGGAAAATGAACAAAGGGTCAAAAAAAAAGACAAAATGATAGATCTGTGGCATACAGCAGGGAGGGTAGAACACAAGGGACTATAGTAATGGCTCAAGGGTGATGTTTTTGTGGGAGATTTGTGGGAACTATACCTGATGGGAGAAATCAAATATTGTACAGAAATGAACAACAATGTAAGAAAATAGAGTTTAATCAATAAAAAGGAAATGAGTGCGAGGAGGAAAAAAAAATACACCTTTGGAAGAGGGTTCTGACTGCAGAGGACTGGCAGGCCATGTGAGGGAGAGGGAGCAGAGGGTTTGGGGAGGAGGCAGCAGCAGTGGTTTAAAACAGAGATGATGGGGATCCACTGTGCTTATGCTGCTGGAGACAGAAGTGAATAGATTCAAATGGTATTTTTAAATACTTTTTCTTTTAATGTGTTAAAAAAAAAACTCCAGGGCCTCCCCGGTGGCGCAGCAGTTGAGCGCTGGGTTGCGAAGCTGCCCTCAGCCTCTGCAGCGCTGGTTCGATCCCTGGCTGATCCCCGGCCACCGGAGGAGGGTCCCACATGGTGCGCAGACCTCTCCTGCCACCCGCTGCTCCCCTCAGCAGTGTACTTCGGTCCTTCTGCCTGCTCTGCTCCCCGCTCTGGCTCTGGTGAATTCTCTCACCCTCCCACGCTTCTGACTGTACCCAGTGCTTGTATAAATAAACAAACAAACAAACAAATAAATAAAAACATGCCTCTATAAAAAAAAAAGTGTTAAAAAAAAAAACTCCATGCTCTTTTCCACAGTGTGTAGTATTTTACATTTCTACCAACAGTTCAAATTTCAATAGTTCAAATTTCTTCACATCCTTAACACTTACAAGTTTCTGTTGTCTTTTTTTGTTGTTGTTTAATAGTGGCCATCTTAACAGGCATGAGGTGATATCTCACTGTGGTTTAACTGGCATTCTCCTAATGATTAATAATGATGAGCATCTTTTTATGTGTTCGTTGGTCATTTATGTATCCTCTTTGGAGAAAGGGCTATTCAAGCCCTTTATCCATTTTGAATTGGATTATTAGATGGTAGGGGTACTTTATATATCCTAAATGCAACCCTTCATCAGGAATATGGCCTGAAGATACTCCTGTCCCATTCCATAGGTTGCCTTTTCACTGTTTTTGTTTCCTGCCATATGCAGAAGTCTTTAAATGTGGTGTAGTTCTACTTGCCTAATTTTGCCTTTGTTACCTGTGCTTCTGATATTATATCTAAGAAATCATTGCCAAATCCAACATCATGAAGCTTTTCCCCTATGTTTTCTCCTAAGAGTTTTAGATTCTTATATTTCAGACTCTCTGTTTAGTTCTTTAATTCACTTTAATGAGCAATTCCTTATGTGTCACTCAGTTTCATTTGTAACTCATTATGGGATAAGGCATGGGTGCAACACCTTTTGTTGAAGAGAATATCCTTTACCCGGTATGTATTCTGGGCACTATTGTTAAACATTATCTGACCATATATGAGGGTTTATTTCTAGGCTCTCTATTATACTCCATTAGTCCACATACCTGTTTTTATACAAGCACTTCACTGTCTTGATTACTGTGTAAGTTTTCTGGCTTTGTTTTTTTCATAAGATTGTTCTGACTATTCAGGGTTGCTTGAGATTCCATATGAACTATAGGATCTTTTTTTTTCTATTTTTTTTGCAAAAGTGCCTCTGGGATTTTGATAGGAATGGCACTGAGTCTATAGGCTGCTTTGTGTAATATGAATATTTGAACAATATTAGATACTTCAAACAAAGAAAATGGGCTGTCTTTCCATTTATCTATCTTCTTTAATTTCTTTCAGCTATGTTTTACAGTATGCAAGTCTTTTGCCTCCATAGTTAAATTTATTTCTAAGTACTTTATTCTTTTTGATACATTACAAATGGATTGTTTTCTTATTATTCCTCTTGGATTATTCACCTATAGTGTATAGAAATGCAACTGATTTTTGTGTGTTGATTTTGTACCCTGCAACTTTACTGAATTGGTTTATTAATTCTAACAGGCTCTTTTTATTGTTTGTGGTATGTGTGTATGTGTGTGTGGAGGGGAATCATTAGGGTTCGCTACATATAATATCATGTCACCTGTAAAGAGATATCATTTTACTTTGCACTTTGGATATGTTTGATTTCTTTTTTTTTTTTCCTTGCATAATTGCTCTAGCCAGATTTCCAGGATTATGTTGAATACAAGTGGCAGAAAGGGTATCTTGTCTTGTTCCTGCTATCAAAGGGAAATCTTTTAGTTTTTACCATTATGTATGATTTTAGCTGTAAGCTTTTCACATGTGACCTTTATTATGTTGAAGCAATTTCCTTCTTTTACTAGTGTGTTGAATATTTTTTATCATGAAAGGGTGTTAAATTTTGTCAACTTTTTCTGCATCAGATCAAATTGCTTTGGTCTTTCATTCTGTTAATGTTGGTGTATAACATTGACTGATTTGGAGGACAAATGAGGGAACTCTAGAGCTGGAATTTAGATATTTTAGACTAGAGATGCCTAAAAGATATCTTAGCAGAGATGTTTAGTGGGCAGCTGCTCCTACAACCCAGAGCTTAGAGATGCCTGAGTTAGAGCAGAAGGAAAGAAACTACTGTGCACATTTGGAGAACAGAGAGGAGGGAATGGGGCTGGAACATGGTGCTCACCCAGAGACAAGAATGGAAGATAAACCCTGAATGTCTTTCTAGAGTGGGGTCAAGTTGCTAGGCGCTCAAACTTGTATGTTATTCCCTATAAATGTAAATGTAAATTACAAATAGTTTTCTTTTTTTCCTTTTGAATGATAGAGTTGTTCATTCATGACTACTTATTTCTGATTTGCAAAGTAGTATCTGTCAAGAATAAAATACCAAGCAACTATAATTCCATCATGTTCCTATAGTTACCACTAACATTATGGCCTATTTCTTTCCAGGGAATTTTTTTCTTGCTTTTCATACAAATTTTTTTTTTTTTTACAAAATTTAACTTTCACTATATGTAACAATTCTATATCCCACTTTTTTCACTAGTATTTTCTCACAAATATTTAGCTGTGTGATTAAAGATTCTTTGTAAACAAAATTTAAGTTGCAACACAGTATTATATTGGATAGATATAAAATAATTATTATAGATATTTAGGTTGTTTTATACTTTTCCTATAATATATATACCCTATAATCAATATTCCTATGTGTGTATTTTTATTTCTACATTTCTACAATAAGAATTTTGGGTTAAATTTGGGTGAAAATGCAGGAACATTTTTTACGTTCTTTTTTTATTTTATATATTTTTACATAATTTTTCATTTTTGTACAATGTATTCATTATAGTCCCCACACAATTCCCACCCCCCTTGTTTTGATCCTACTCCCTTCTCCCCCTGCCCCCACAGTGAGTCTCTGGTTTATAGTTGCTTGTTGATTTTGATTTTTACTTTATTATAATTAGTCTTTTTCCTAGTCCCTTATTTAGGTTTTCTAAATTCCTACTATGAGTGAGACCATTGGTTTTTTTCTTTTTCTTTCTGGCTTATTTCACTGAGCATGATCCCTTGCAGCTCCATCCATCCATGTTGCTGCAAATTGCATGAGTTTATCTTTTTTTTTTTAAAGATTTATTTATTTATTTATTTATACAAGCACTGCTTACAGTCAGAAGTGCAGGAGGGTGAGAGAATTCACCAGAGCCAGAGCAGGGAGCAGAGCAGGCAGAAGGACCGAAGTACACTGCAGGGGAGCAGCAGGCGGCAGGAGAGGTCTGTGAGCCATGTGGGACCCTCCTCCGGTGGCTGGGGAGCAGCTGGGGATCAAACCAGCGCTGCAGAGGCTGCGGGCAGCTTCTCAACCCAGCGCTCAACCGCTGCGCCACCGGGGAGGCCCGAGTTTATCTTTCTTGATTACTGAGTAATATTCCATTGTTCATATGTACCACATCTTCTTGATTAGTCATCTATTTTTGGGCATTTGGGTTGTTTCCACAGCTCACCTATTGTAAATAGTGCTGCTATAAACATAGGGGTGCAGGTGCCATTTTGAATTAATGTTTCTGTGTTTTTTGGGTAAATTCCTAGGAGTGGAATTGCTGGATCATATGGAAGCTCCATCTTTAGCAGATTGAGGAATCTCCACACAGCTCTCCATAGTGGTTGGACCAGTTTAAAATGCAGGAACATTTTAAAGAATTTTTGATACTAACAGCAAATGATTTTTTAGAAAGGCTAACTCAATTTATATACCGAGGGTATGAGATTGCTTCTTAACTTCATCCTTACCATCATAGAGCATTATGACTTTGAAAACATTTACTAATTTTATAGATGAAAAATGTGTTCAATTTCAATATCATAATCAAGAACCTGAGTTTAAGCTCATAAAATATGAACAAGTTTCTAATACGACAAGTCCAAAGAATCTGAAAAGATGTATTTCTGGCAGTCCAAAGAGGGTCCTGAAGCTACCAAGATGGCCCAACAGCAATGCTGAACATCAGCCACCAACATTCTAGAAGTCCCTAAGGACTCATCCTAACTTGATACCTTCCTATGGAAGTGAGGGAGAAAATGATTAACCTGGAGAATCTAAGCAACTTATAGTCCTTTCTCCCTCTTAGCCATGAAAAGCCTTTTTTATTATTATTTAAAAGGTAACTAGAAGCAAAATTACTCAGCCTGCAATATTATATATAAAAGAACTGCTACTGCTCAGATGTTTGGAGTTAAATAAACCATAGTACCCAGTGAGAAGGAATGCTGGAAAGAGGCAAAAAGTTAAACCCTTTCCGTTATATGATAAATTTTAACCTAGATACATGAAAATTGGGACCCGTGTGTCTTTTCACACAGGTTGAGGCTTATCAGGGTGGTTTGCACTGAAATGACCTCAGTGTGTGGTCACCCCGTCACTGAAAGGGAGCTGGCAATGAGCTTTCTGCAGGTGCAGTGGTCCTGAATGGCTGGTGTCACACACACAGATCCCTTTGTAATTTCATCTTAGTTCAAATTAAGGCAATTTCAATGAAAAGATTTTACATACACTGTAGCTCACTATCTTTCAGTTTCACGAGAGCAAGAGCTACACCTTCCTTACTCACCACTCCATCTCCCATCCCTAGGGTGGAGAGTTTATACATACTATGCACCCAAATACTCGTGGAGGGGAGAGAAGGCAGGAAGGATGAAAGAGCACGATGACCACAGCAACAGCCTTCTAGTGGAACTCTGAGTACCTTAGTTAAGATTCTGCCGGTCTGCCCTTTTCTTGTTTCTACTGCTGGCTAACCATTCTCCTCTAACACTTGCTTTAGAAATGCAATACCATTGGTTAGGCTGCAATATAATTAGACTGGCCTAAGTGCCTTTCTGTCTGCTGAAGCAGCTTTGTATGCCCCTGACCTAACCTATTTATGGCCATTTATAATTTAATTCTCAAGAGAATAGTCTTACTTCCAAGTTCTTGGGGTTACCACACTTTCAAGTCCTTGTAATTGCCACATCACTGTCCAGGGTTAAGGACAGGGCGCTCCAGGACACACAGCTATCATGGGAAAAATAACAATATGTGCTTGTGGCTGAAGCTTGCTCATACTTCATACAAACAGAAGCTAGAGATGACATTCCTACATGCTTTGGCTATTTTCTCAAAACATGATATTAATTTTGATAATTAAAAACAGAACAAGCACTGGTCTGGGAATCTGGGTGAGATCTAGATTGTTTTACTCCTGACTCTGGCACTTACTTGGCTGTCAGCAAGTCCCATGCAGTCCTGGCTTCTGTTAAACAAAGAATCTGGACAACATGATCATGAAAGCCCCTTCCAGTCTTGACATTTTGTCATTCAATGATTAATTTTCATCTAAGAACTTGTCCCTGACTTCATAAGCACCCCAAATAGTAACCCACCTGCTGGCAATGACCACCACACACCTGGAGCCTGGGTTAATCTACAGAAATCACAGTGGTATCTCAGGATTTTCATGATTACAAATGAAATCATTCAAGAGACAAGCAGATATGTTTGACTACTGACACCAGCTAATACAGCAGATGCTCTGACACACAGATCTTTTTGATCTGTGGACCACTGGGTGGACAACTGGGACACCTGGAAAATCAGGTCATGTCCCAACTCAAGTGACCATCTTATTTGATTTTGCTCAGAAGCAGGGTGCTTGTAGGAATTATTTTCCATATGCAAAATAATCAATTCTGATAAAATGTTTCCATAAGCATACAACTTTTGCTAATCTTTGCAAAAAGAACTCTATTCTTGATATTGGGAATACAACTTCCTTCACCTAAAGTCCCCAACACACAGACCTGTGCATAGATGCTGCCATTGGTGCAAAATTACTCTCTCAAGTAGGCTTTCAGCTACAGACAAGAAAGCTTATTAGGAATCTGTTTATAATCAAAAAAATCATCTCGGTTTTAATTAGCTGGTATGTTAAACTCAAAGTCATGTTTATGTTTAAACATTCCCAAAACCCTCCTTAGAAAATGGGCATGTCTGATGGCCTTCCCTGCTTGACAGGAAATTATGGAAAAGAATAAAGATTGCCCACCAAAGGTTACACACTCCAGAGGCACATATCCATTTCTGCTGCAGCAACTGTGAACAGACTAAGCACAAAAGTGTGAATAGCAAAAAGATTTCTTCTATTAGCTCAAATAGGATATTTATAAAAGAAAAGGAGGAGGAAAAGCAACAGCCACCCTGAGCTTGTATCTGCAGATGCGCTTGGAAACACTGCACTACTTGCCTGGAGTAGTAGGACTCCACCCCCAGGGCCTCCCGCACGCTGGAGATGTGCTGCTCCAGGGCCGAACAGGTGGCTGTCGGAAGGGCTGTGTTGTTGCCAGCCTGGAAGTCACTGGAGTTTTCCGCTGTATTATCACCTAGGTAGTGTTCATGAAACTTCAGAATTCCTGAAACAACACAGGCACAGTCAATGTTATTTTGGATTGAGGGAGGGGAAATGGAGGGCAGACATAGGTAGGGATGTTGATGTTATGTGACCTTTTTGACTAGCTTATGGTCCTCTAAACCATAGGAAGAGATTCTGAAATCCGGCGTCTCAAGAGATCTTTCAGACATTTGGTCAGTAACCTGTTAACCGCTCTTACCATCAGTCTGTCACTTGAAATCAGGGAGTTCAAGATTTTCACTTTTGGCAACATGTTCAGAAGTCCCCTTGAATGACGACTATGTATTTCTTAGACGCACAAGTTAGGGAAAGTCTCCTTTCAGAAATAGTGTGTGAGCATGCCAAGGTATACTCTCCCCAGAAACTGAAATCTCCAACAAAAATGTAACCAGTCATAAGGAAACTTGTTACTCAAAGACCTTTCATTTCACAAAAGCATATCAAAATAAATAGTCTACAGACCAGATAAAAACATCCTAAACCACTTTTAAATAAGGTATATTGATCAATGCTCATTAATGGATTAAAGGAGAAAAAATGACGGCTGCATGAAACAGGCAATCCACAGTGGTTCTCTGGCAATAAGCATAGGACATATCCTCAAATGGTAATGAGGTGTGTCGGCTTTGGAAAATGCTGGTTCTCTCTGATTGGAATAGAGCCCCAGTGAAAGCTTCAGAGTCTCATTAAAAGCAAAGAGGAACGGAAGAGAAACAATAGGAGCCTCATTATACTTGGCTCATTATTACAAGGATTTGGATATACTGCCTGTCAAATGTCCCCAAAACCTAACAGTCACAGACAGAAGAGTTTGATACTTCTGTCATCAGCCATGTTCTCAGGGGTATAAGTGCCCCTCTGGGAACTGAGGAGCACAGGAAGTCTGCTGTGGCTGACATTCACCAAGTCACCATGAACAACACCACTTACAATCTGTACTATAAAAAGGTCACTGGTAAGAATCTTCTTTGTGGACAGGCCATAAAAACATGAAATTAAGGAGGAAAGATTATAAAAATTAGTGCCAAGGCACAGAATGCACAGACACAATTACTCTGAACCCAGCAAGCATCAGAAGTTGTCATCTAGTCATTACTTTTTTGAAATCAAAGGGATAGAAACATAATCAAAAAAATTCTATCAATTCTCCCTGGAAGTTGAACTTTTTGGAAATTGGCTTACAGATATTCAAGAAACCCAATTTTTAGGATTCTCAATTATAAAATCCACTTCCTCAGTCAATAAACTCTAATTGGATCTGGTGTGTCTCCAACATGGTAAAGCCATCAACATTTTATTATGCAAAAAATATGGCCCTAACAGCTAATTAGTGTTTCTGTATTTAGTGAAACTGTTACAGCCTGAAAAGTTAATGCCAATTTAATCAAAGGGATTTTTTTTTACTTCTGAAATAGATTTACAACAGAATTTGTTAAAAATAGGTTCTACTAAACTCAGAAATTTCAAGCTTAACACTTCATTTATATACAGTGATAGAGTTGCCATTATCATTTTATTCTCCTTAGCTTTATCATGACAAAGAGTCACAATTATTAAATCATATCTCGAAAGCACTCGTTAGGACTTGCAGTCATCGCTTTATTAGCTAATGAACAACAGTTTCCTAAAATAGGGCTGCTAGTGAAATTAATCCTCCTGTCCTTAGTCTTCCTTGATAAATGTTTCCACATTCACCAGCAAGGAGCAGCAATTTCTTGGGGGAATGAGAAAGCTGGGCTGTCTTATTAATCGTATGCCCTACCATAGGAGATCTGCTGTGGCTGAGGTTTTACTGAAAGCAGGTATCAGCTCCTGAGCCTGTGATATGGTAATGCACCTCTTCCACCTCTAGTCAGTCTAATGTCTTAATCATGGATTCCCATGGAAAGAGATCTTACCTGCCCCAGGAGCAAGCAGCCAGCTGTATAGGTAACCTGCAGCCAGGGAATAGTAAAGTATTAGTCCCCTTTGGCCATTAACCATCTCTAAGATCTGATCTATGGTGACTGGGGAGTAGGGGTCAGAGTCCTGTTGTCCTGTTTGTCGTTCTACCAGAAGATCAGCAAAAGCCCTTGTCCGTCCTCTTTCTGCCACAGCCAAAGCTTCATCGTGATGGCCTAAAAAACAAAGGGATAAGCTGAGGAGTCCATAAAAAGTGTGCTTACTCAGAGAGGGGATCAGATACAGAAAGCCTGGGCAGAAACCCCACTGACTCTGTACTCGGGTGTCTTGCATAGGTTCAGTCACACTGTTTCAAATTTAATCTCCTGCTTCAGATGATGGGTGGTTTCCATGTCATAAAACCCCACATTTTCAGATTTCATGCTACCCTAAGCCATCAGACCTTCCCCGTCCCCTGTGTTGCAGCCATACCACAAGAGAGCACTCACCCTCAACCCTGTCCATTCTCTGTTCCGCACACTAAATGGCTCCCCATTCTCTTGGCTTCTGATCGCTTTCACTTGGCTCTAGTTACTCTCACTTCCCTGCTTATCTTTGATTCTGACTTGGCATTGGCAGATGAGTCCTTCAGGACATGGTTCCTGGTCATCTTTGTATTTTTCCTTGATGCAGCACCACCATGTATCACATTGTCCAATCCCATGTTCACACTCCCCCCCAAATTATACCTCTGTGTCTTATATACACTGGTCCCTCTGCTGGGTGTGTCTTTCATTTTCCATAGACCTTGCCTCAAAAAAAGAAAAACTAGTCTGTAATCTAGCCTGAAAGCTAATGAGCAAATACAAGAGCACACAACGTATAAAGCAACATGCTTTCAAGTGAGGATTATTTGGAAGTGCTGAAAAGCATAATGCAGAGGATTTTTTGGTGTCAAAAGTATAAATATGAAAGAGTTGCTAGAACTAGGGTCCAAACAGACAGAGACAGGAGACCAGATGTTGCAGCTCCGACAGCATTTCAAGGATGCTTTGCTTCCTGTGGTTCGAGTATCACTAGAAAGTGGGGATTTATGTGTGTGTATGCAAGTGTCTTCTTTTACTCTATTAAGTTATTAACTGGAACAGCAGGGATGATTTCTGTGCACACTGGAAAATCGGCCCCAAAGTGCTAGACAGACTTAACACTGTGATTATAATAGATAATAAATTGTAATCCCAGGCAATGAGCACATTTATAGATACATTTTTTCAAGGGAAGTTTGCACATTCATACACACATAGAAAAGGATAGGTTATTAACAAAGCCTCGATGTTCAACTTCAAAGACATTGTTAGTTCCAATGAATAGCTCCTCAACCCAAGTCCTGGGCTGGGAGAAGTAGTCTGGAGAGATGGATAGGCCTGAGAAGTGGCAAAGGACAGGGGAGGCGCAAGGGAGGGAAGATGCACGCTGCCCCTGTACCACACAGCACACGCCTGGGGAACATGCACTGACAATGTCACAGTCTAGATGTTAGACCCAGGGAGCTGAAAACATTCACAAAGCATCTACTAGAGAGCAGCAGCAAGAGACATGTTGCAGAGGAAACAGGGAGGGCCCAGACGTCTTTTCGGGGGTCTCCCTGCCAGCTGTATTTACAGTGAAAGATAACCTTGGGAGACAATGGGTTCAAGCATCCCTGCTTCTAGTATAGCTTCTGTTGCTCCTGGTCAGCCTGCCACACTGCTTTGTTTCCAGAGCACTTGGGTTTCTTCTACCCTGGTACCAACAATGCCAGGACTATACACATAGAATTCTGACTCTTGACAGACCTCAGTTTACTTGAGCTTGAGAAACAGGCCTTCTTATAGTTGAGCCCTAGAGCTGGCACTTACCACAATAGGTGTTGTACAAGTATTAGTTGAATAAATGAAAGAATGTTTATGGCTAGATTGTGGTTATGGCTTCACAGTTGTAATGAAGTACATTTCATCACCATGATGGCTGAAAAAGACTCAGACACAAGGGAACACACACCAAAAGGGAAGCCCCAGCTGTCCTCACCTAGACTGACAAGCACCCGCTGCAAGGCCTGATAGGACGACGTCTGCAGGTCAAAGAGGGAGAGTTTGTAGTCTGTGCTCAGTTGTGCCTCATGTCGGATTGTTTCAAACAAGGCTGATGCTCTGTAGAGCTGCAAGTAAGGGAAAAAGTTATTATTTGTTCCCCCAAAACCACTATTCAGCTCTTTCCTGACAAGAGACAATATTGTTCACATCTTAGTGCACAACCTAAAAACTTTTTATTTATTTATTTGTTTGTTTTAAAGATTTATTTATTTATTTATACAAGCACTGGGTACAGTCAGAAGCACAGGAGGGTGGGAGAATTCACCAGAGCCAGAGCAGGGAACAGAACAGGCAGACCGACGAAATACACTGCTAAGGGGAGCAGCGAGCGCGGCAAGAGAGGTCTGCGCGCCATGTGGGACCCTCACCAGATCGAACCCGTGCCACAGAGGTTGCGGCAGCTTCGCAGCCCAGCGCTCAACCGCTACACCACCAGGGGAGGCCCTAAAAACTTTTTCTTAAAGGGCCTCCCCTGGTGGTGCAGGCGGTTTGGCGCTGCGCTGTGAAGCTGTCCGCAGCCTCTGTAGGACGGGTTCAATCCCAGGCGGCCGGTGAGGGTCCCACATGGCATGGCAGACCTCTCCTGTCGTACCCACTGCTCCCCTCAGCAGTGTATTTCATCAGTCTGCCTGTTCTGTTCCCTGCTCTGTCTCTGCTGAATCCTCTCACCCTCCTGCACATCTGGCCTGTACCCCGGTTTTGTGTAAAATGAATAAATAAATCTTTAAAAAAAACTTTTTTAAAGACTGAATCTTTATTTCCATGTAGGTCTTTGTAGATCGGTAAAGGCATTTTACTATACCCAGTAAATTAGAGTTCATGTAAACATTTCTTGATCTAAAACACAGGGGTTATAAGCTTATAAAGTCTGAAATAGTGTAAAAAAAGTCAGATATCAATTCAGTCAAGTGCTGATTTTTTATTAAAACAAAATCAAAAGCCTCTAATCACTACCCTATGCCTCATGGTGTGGAAGGACAGGAGTAAGAACAGGTGTGGTGAAGGTAGGCTAGAAATAGACAAGGCTGGGGAGAAATGAGATGAAGGCGGCCACCTTCTCAGAGCATAGCTCTATGCCAGCAATCCAGTGCCACAGAGGGCAGTCAAATATTGCTCTCCACAGCAGTGTCCTAGGGTCAGGTTTTCACTGGACCAGCTGCACAGAAGTCACACCCAGTTACAGGCACATCCTCGAGACCAGACACTGAACGTTTGAAAAGAGACACAGTCCCACTGCAGCCATGGTTTCTGTATCAGTGAGACCAGAATTTTCCCCCCTGATATTTATATGTTGAAAATACATGACCAAATTTTAAGTTCACATACATTTTAAAAATAGAATTCTAAGACTAAGAAACTGGGAGAGAGGGATGTATTCTCAACTCTGCACCAGTTTAATGAATGACTTTTGGCAAGATATAGAGTCTCACACTCTCCTCTATAAAGGGAATGGCTAACATCCTACCTCATGGGATTATCTGAGGAATAAATTCAGTGAGTAAAAATACTTAGGAAATTGTAAATACTGTGTCACACAAACTTTAATTTTTAAAATCAGGACATTAGAGAAGTAATTCTGTAAATCAGGGTTACAGTCTGAAAATTAGAAAAGAAAGCAGCCACTAATCCAGCTATTAATGCAGTGCTGATTTTTTTTTTTTATAGAGGCATGTTATTTATTTATTTGTTTGCTTGTTTGTTTGTTTGTTTATACATGCACTGGGTACAGTCAGAAGCGCGGGAGGGTGAGAGAATTCACCAGAGCCAGAGCGGGGTGCAGAGCAGGCAGAAGGACCGAAGTACACTGCTGAGGGGAGCAGCGGGCGGCAGGAGAGGTCTGCGCGCCATGTGACCCTCCTCCGGTGGCCAGGGAGCAGCCGGGGATCGAACCGGCACCGCAGAGATCGCGGGCAGCTTCGCAACCCAGCGCTCAACCGCTGCGCCACTGGGGAGGCCCAATGCAGTGCTGATTTTGATTAAAACAAACAAAAGCACTCTCTTCTTATCAAGTGTCTGTAATTTGCCACAGTCATGCTCCAATCCTTCTTTTAATAGTTTACAAAGTAAAATACCACAACATTCCAGGAAATTATGGCACAAATTCAGTCCTGTTGTGGTCTCAATTCCTGTGAGCAACTCTGGTAGGAGCTTTTCCCCTGGCCCTTGCCCCTCTGCCTCGCACAAAGTCCCCCACAGGACCTCCTTCTATGTGGCCTACACACTTTGAGACTGCTTTGAAACGACATCCCACAGCTCCTCCAACCTAAGAGAGGAAGTCGTAACTCTAGGAACTCTCCAATCTCCACAGCCAGCACGACAGGGACTTCTCTTCAACTACATGCACTAAATGGAACATGAATGTGTGTGTGTATGGAGGAGAGAGACTTATTGATACATTTAGAAACCTACAAAGACATTAAATTCAGACATGGATTCAGTCATTAAATTCAGTCTATCATAAAATATGTACAAATTCATATTAAGTTTAATGAAGAACACAATACATAACACAAGAATTCCAAAGAAATTATCAAGGAATCTATTATATAAGAGAACAAGAATCTTTACTACAGTTCAACACATGCTGGCTGATGCAAGTTGAAAATATGTCTATCAACCCAAAGGTAAAAGTTATCCTCTTTTGGAAAATGACATTATTACTTGGTCATGGAAGACCTCATGCTTCTGGAAACAAAATCTACTTGGGGCAGGGTTCTGCTCACCTGGTGTTGGGCCTCCTCCAGGTTCCCACTAGCCCAAAGAGAAAGACCAAGACCATGGCGAATTTTGGCTTCATCTTCTCTTCGGCCCAGTTGCTCAGCTAACCTTAAACCTGAAATCAGAGAAATTTTAAGAGCGGATAGAATTTTTAGAAAACATAGATTCCACTCTGCCAAAGAGTTCTAGAGGTTAATTCAACCTAAGGTATATAAATAGAATGTTAGCACAGTTAGATGAAATGCAGGGCAAGAGTAGAATCAGCCAAGGCAGAATAAGCATCCTCTTCAAATTCTATGTTGGTAGTGACCTTTCAAAGGCACTCCAAGCTGCCCCAGCAAGAGTTCAGGTGATGAGTATCAGCAGGAGACAGGTTTGCAGGGGAGGCAGAAACACTGAAACAAATGAAACCTAACCTGGCTGCCCTCCCAGATGTGAAATCCCTAGCTTTGCAAATGAAAACTCCTGGACTATAAATTTATCTAACCAATTCTTTGGCTGGCAAAAGCTTTTCCTGATGGTTATAAAGTCCAGCACAGAAGCTAATACTTTTCCCAATCTCACACGCACAGCATCCTATCTGCATTAATGGGAGACATATATGATGTCCTCCTGACAGAAGAATGCTCACATTGCCTGCCCCTGCCTCTGTTACTGATGCTCCTGACACATTTCACGCCCAATCTGTGTTTCCTTTAAGGCCGAGACTTTGATGTACCTCAGCGGGGTTGCCGAAGAAGTGCTATTATGAGTTGGAAAACTTAAATGAGACTCTCCTAGTTCTAATGGCCTTCAGATAGGCACCTGCAGTTTGGGTCACTTACCCACAGCAAGCTTCTGGATTTCAGGACACCAGCAACCTCCAGGGTTTTGTGGGAACCAAGTATGAGGGCAATCACTTACTGTATTGGCCACTAAGCAGTTCTCTGCATCACTCTGCTCTCATTATCTAGCTCTCTGTACACAGGAGTCAGCTCATGCAGAAGACAGCATAAAGACTCCCACACCATGACTGTGCTCACAAAGGAAGGTCTTATTTTTCTTAATCTAATTCAAGGTGGATGGGAGCCTGCCTCTTGGCATGCTGGGCCTATGCAATTTCACACTTTTGAAAAAGAATTGAGTCAGATAAGAGACTAATAAAATCGATACTCAGGTTCAAGCTTATAAAATGTTATGCCTTTAAAAATGTACATAATACAGAAAATTACAAGTAGCATTTTAAGTTTAAATCATGTTACTGGATAACAAAAATAATAATTGCAAGTTATTGATATTTTAAAACACCTCATAGAACAGAAACACAAATGAAAGAAGGGGTTCTTGGTTGATACTAGTTGCTTTAATTTTCAGCAAGCTAACTATATTCATTCTTCAATAAATCTATCCCTGTTTGGTCTGAATCTATGAATAAGAGGTAAAATTAGTTAAGGTAAACCCACCTTAGAAGGTATGGTCTGTGGGAGCAGGGACTTTGTTTTGTTTCCTGCTGGACCCACAGCATGTAGGACACATCCTGGCTGATGGCAGCAAAGAGCTAAAAGCACATTGGGCAGACACGGTATCAGTCTTGCCCCAACTTCTACCTGCTTCTGCCTCTTAGGAGCTAGACACACCCAGTCCAGCCCTCCTGAAGCCTGGTATGCCAGGAACTGGTTGCTTAACTCAAAGTAAGTCGCTATATTGCTCTAGGTTCCCAATACAAATCACTGGGAGAACTTGTTAAAAAGACTCAGACCAGGCTCTCTTGTGAGATCCTATTGCACTGGGGTCAACTGAGGATGACCCATAGGCCCTTCTAAAAGTCAGGAGAATGAGCAGCAAGCTGATTTCTGACTCACTGTAAAAGGGTGTAGCCCCAACTTAAAGCTCTCAGAAAGGGTCTTCCAGGTGTCCTGCACTTGTACCAACTCAGTGCTCATGACAAGGGGTGTCTGCTTTGGCCCAAAAGACAATCTAGGCTCTCTGGCGGGGCACATACACAAAACAAACACTGTGGAGATGATACAGTAAGATTTTAGATAGCTACAAAACTTAAAATTACAAGAAAAAATGAAATTAAGTTTTCCATTAATATAGAACTATGCTATAACGTCTCAAGCAAAGTAGCTGCTTTGTGGAATTTAAATTTAATAGTTTTCACAAATTAACTAAAAACCACCCCCAGTCTGTTGGAATTTTACCACAGTCAAGTTTCAGGAAACCAGAGCATATTGAATGCACTGTGGCAGAGTTCCCACTAAGCAGGGGTCACATAAAGTCAGGGCAGTGGCCCCCAGTCTCTCATTTGCAGGCCAGAGCAATCCTCATCTGCAGGAAAGTCAACCATCAGCCTCTGGCCCAGTCTCCACTTTGTTTCCTGTCTCCCTCTCTCCTGGCTTCCCAGCTGGGCTTCAGAAGTGAAGGGGATATGACTGTCACATCCTTGCTCTGTTCTTGTGAGGTTAGAAACTCCACATATGGTCTCATGTGATTCCTGGGGTCAGAAAGCCTAGGCTGAGCCCCACTCCCCCACTGACTGATCACACGGTCGGGATCAAGCCACTGTAATTCTCCGAGCCTTAGGTCACTTAGTTGAAAACGGGAATCAAACGATACATCCCTCAAAGTTACTGTGAGAATTAAATCCAATTAAATAAGTTCTATATACAAAGAGCCAAGAACTTAACAGCTGCCATTTTACCCTCCCAGAACTGGAGGATGCATGTGACCATGTGAGGGGAAGGGCTTTCCAGAGCAGAAAATCCCATCCCAGTGTTAAGAGGTGGAGGGTAAAACACTGCTGTGCAACTTCTGCCTCGTGAGGAAGGATGTGTCCAAGGACTGAACTGCATGGGCGCTGACAGCAGAAGAGGAGGAGAAGCAGTCACTTTCTGGGCCTGCCTGGAACAAGACTACCATGGCACCATGGCACCAGGAGAGCACTGTGGGTAATGAGCATTGGAAAGGAAGTCTGGCTAACTGCCCAAGTGACCCTCAGACTGATGCTTCTGGACTAGACCTCGGATACTACACCAGAACTAACTTCCTCATAGTTTTGACAGAGTTAAGATCTTTTTAGAGGGACTTGAAACAAATGGGTATTTTTTCTGATTTAGGTCCTTATATTTTATGTGCTTAGATATCTACTTACTTGATTCATCATGTGTAAGAATGTGTTATTTACTCAATACAGGGCTCTGAAAAGCAAGGATAGCATCAGCTCCCTGGGCAGCTGGCTAGCAGAGGAAGACAACCTGGGTAAGACATTCTGGATGGAAGATGGAAGGCCATAGTACTAGCAAGAGACATGCAGCAGGGACCACTGTACTAAAGTGGCAGTGATCATGTGGCCTCTAAGATCTTCCTTCTAGGCAGATGTGGCCACTCAGACTATGCATACCCCCTCCTGAGTGGACTCTGAACTTAATCTCAGAGTAGAACAAGAGACTACAAGGGACCTTTTCACTTACCTTCCTGTAAGTACATGACTGCCTGGGAATAGTTCTGCAAAGCATGATGGGTCCTTCCAAGGCTACTATACGACACCGTCTTGGCCACCAAGTCATTCATCTGTGCAGCAATGCTCAAGTGCTGTTCTTGATAGACTACTGCCCTCTCAAAGGTGCCCAGAGATTCATACGTCAGTCCTAGGTTCCCATAGGCTCGACCCTGACATGTGGGGTTGTTGGTTTCCTCTGCAATCTGCAGATCGAGCTGGTGGTATTGCAGGGCTGTATCATATTCCCCCATCTGCTGGTAAACGCCCCCCAGGCCACAGGCTGCATCACTCTCCAGGGCTCGGTCTTTCATCTCTCTAGCAATGTTCAGCTGGCGTTCAAGGCAGGAAATGGCTTGTTCGTAATTCCCTAATTGGCTGTGCAGACTTCCCAGCTCTCCATAGGCCTGGGCTTTATTAAAGGCCTCCCCAAGCTCATGGGCAACCACGAGCCTCTTTTCAAAGCACACAAGGGCTTGCTGCAAGCTCCCCATTGCCCTGTGGGGATGTAGACAGAAAAGCAATGATATTATTTTGTGCAGGTGCAGACATGCTAAAGCCCCTGAGAAAATGAAAAACATTTGTCACTGTCACTTACTATAGAAGCTCTTAACTCCTCTTCTAGCTAAAATCTATCATGTGCCCTTAGAGTGAGATACAGGGGAATTTCATAATCTGGAAAGCAATTCAAAAGTCATCCCTTAGTGACCTTCCCAAGAGCTTAAGATTCAATGGGATATACACCCCAGAGGAAACATAAAATATATTAATAGGCACAATGATAGCAAGTGAACTGTTTGGTTCTTCAGGCCTCCCAATTTCCACTACCGCTTAGACTATGTTTTTGAAATCACTTTACAATAGCTATAAATCCTTCACCCTGAGCTTCTCAGAGCACTCTGTGGGTGATGATTTAGTTTGACCCTAGCCCTTCCTCCACTCCAGGAGCCCTAATCCTCTGCCTATCTGGAAGGGCCGTATATTCTGCAGACACAGTCACTTTCTTGGGTTCCCCACATTCAGAAGAAAAGCACCTTGGCCCAACAGTGTGTCTTTTTGTGCTGTTAAGAGATGACATGATAAAAGTGGGAAGAGCATGGATTTTGGCAGCAGACCAAACCAGTTGGGGCATGTGAATTCCTTTCCTTAAGCCTTAGTTTCTGGATTACAGTAAATCCTACATCCCATAGCAGATGATAATAAATGTACAGTAATACAGGATTGTCATAAATATTAAGCAAAAGACTGTGTAAGGTGCCCAGCATGATGATGTACATGTTTATTCACTCCCACCATTATGAGGTGGCTTTCCCAAAAAGCAACAAAATGGGGTCCACATAATTGGTAGGTGTAGGCATAATATTAACAAACACCTTGAAATGTTGTGGGAAGTGTTCTGAAAAGGTCAGTTAAATGGGTTTGCTCATCTTCCCCCATTCCTATGATCTCTTTGATCCTGCTCATTAGGATATAGTAAAAAAGTCACTGAATTTGGAGTCAGAGAGCCCTGGATTTGACCCTAGGCTGTCCCTTTTAAGCTGTGTGATCTGTGTAACTTGACACATCTTGGGCTTAGTTTCTTCCTCCATAGCATAGTGTAAAAAATATCATCTACGAAATTCACAGAATCATCAGAAGAACCAAATGAAATATGTATGAAAATGATTTGTAGTTAACAAACTGTCATGAAGACAGAACGTTAGGTTCCTATTACAAAGTCACAACTGCTCTTTGTATAGGTTTATCCACCACATCCTACTGTGTCATTTTTACCTGTGTCCATTTCCTAGGCCCCGGTAAGCCTTGGCTTGGTCTTGCATGCGATTCAGACTCTGGGCAACAGATAAATACTGTTCATAGTACTTGATAGCCTCCTCATAGTCCCCCAGGGCCTCATAGCAATCCCCCAGGTTTCCGTAGGCCCGGCCCCGGTCAAGCACAGATTCATTTCCACTTAACTGCTGCAGCATGGCCAACTGCTGTTCAAAGTAGCCAATGGCCTCTTCCATCACGTTCATGTTCATTTTTGTGATGCCCATGTTGCCATAGACCTGAGCTTCTAGACTTGGGTCCTTCAGCTTCTGTCCTAGATCCAACTGTTCTTCATAACACTTGAATGCCATCGTGTATTTTCCAAGGGCCATGTAGACAGCAGCCAGGTGCCCATGAGCTCGGCACTCCCCTGGCAAGTCACTCAGCTCCTGATATACCTCCAGTTCCTGTGTGTGATAACCCAAGGCCTTGTCATGTTTCTGGATCATCCGATATGCAGTGCCCAGGGCTGCATATGCACTGGCCTCCAGTCTTCTGTCCTTTACATGATGAGCTAGGCCCAGCTGTTGCTCATAGAATTTTATCGCACCATTTATGTCTTTTTTACAGATGAATATATCACCAAGGTTCCCAAGGGCTCGAAATTTAGCCTGGGAATTATTCAGGGACTGGGCTAGGGACAATAGGTACTTCTGACACTCTTCAGCTTTGCTAAAATTCAGTAGAGCCTTGAATGCTAGGCCTAAGTTGCAGTAAGCTTTTGCTTGGCTCAATTTGTCGTGAAGGTCTTTGGCCAGTGCCAGATCCTGCTCATAGTATTTTACTGCTTCCTGGTAATTTCCAAGGCAGTAATGGGCATAGCCAAGATTGTGGCAGACCTTCCCCTCTCCTTCCATGTCTTGAAGGTCAGGAGCGAGCCGAAGGTACTGTTCATAATAGGGAGCAGCCTGGACATATTCCCCCCGAGAACAATGGAAGTTGCCCAAGTTGCTGAGGGCACGGGCTTCGCTCTGGATGTCACGCAGCTCCCGGGCGATGTTCAGATGGTTTTGGTAATGCTGCAGGGCCCGGTCATGGGCCCCAAGGGCCTGGTAGGCCACAGCAAGGTTCCCGTGTGTGGAGGCCTGTGAGGCACGGTCATTAACTTCCATGGAGATCTGAAGTTCTTGTCTGTGGTACTTGACTGCCTGGTCATACATGCCCAGGGCATTGTAGGCATTGCCCATATTCCCATAGGCACGGCCCTGAGCGGCATAATCACTAAGCTCCTGGGCGATGCACAAGTGTGTCTTGTGGAGTTTCAGTGCAGTATCATAATCGCCTTTCATCTGGTGTATGATTCCTGAGAAAGAGGATAAAAGAAAAAGGTTGAAATAACTGATTAGCAATCTTAAAAAATGTAATTTGCAACTCTATTTATACTCAAATACAATCCAAATGAATTAAAGAATTTAAAATAACAGAAGGTAGAATTAAATATTCTCCTGAGGGGGATAGTTTTCTAAGCTTTGAAGTAACAGAAAAAAACACTGACAGATTTGAGTACAAAACTAAATTTTGTAATTTAGCACTAGAAATATATATCTAAAATTAAAAAGCAAACACACAACACGGAAAAACATATCATACGTCTGTGAAAAAATTCAGTAACTGTTGTGAGTAAAAATCTCAATTTACCAAAATAGGCAAAGAATAGTTAAGTGTGAGCAGACCATTCACATTCAAGGAAATACAAGGGTAACCACAGGGGAAAAATGCTAATTTCTTTTAATAAACAAGGAAATGCAAAATAAAGCAACCATGAAGTACCATCTTACTTCTACTAAATTAGCAAACAAAAATTTAAGCAATGCCCTATACTGATAAAGTTGCCTTTAAGTTGGTTAACACATCAACTGCTGGACATAACCTGGAACAGCCTTTGGAGAAGCAGTGTGGCAAGAACCACAGACATAGTCTTGCTCAGACCCTGCAATCTTATTTATGGGAATGTATCCCAAGGAACTCATCTGACAAATGCAAAAGCTATACAAATAACAATCCTCAATGCAGCATTATAGATGAGTGAAAATCAGAAGCATTTTAATGGCAAACACTGGGGGACTGTGTTAGTACATTTTGGCGTATCAACTCAATAGAGGATTACGAATTCATTAAAAGGATAATTAAGAAGTCTGTGCAAAATAAAAAAATGGAAAAAAAAATCCCTGTAATAATGTTAAATGGAAAAAGAAGGAAACAATACTGCAGCAATCCCTGTGGCAACAACCAGAAAATTAATGTGTGCAGGCAGACAAGACCTTGAGAGGATAAGGCAAAAAAAAAAACCAGTTATTTTGTTAGGTGATGGGATTTGAATGATTTTTACTCCAAAATCTCTAGCAATTCTGCTATGTTGTTTTTACAGTCAACAATAGTAGCTCTTCAAACCCTCATAAACTATTCTATAGCTGTTAAACTAAGTTATTATCTTTACAAGCAGTTCAAAATGAGATATATCATAAATATGAAGCAGTTCCAAATAAGGGGTATCATAAAAGTAACTTGGGAGGTGGCTTTAAAGGAGGCCTGGTTCATGCCATTTGTGATGGGGTGGGAAGCCCTGGAATCTAGACTGCAAAACAGGTTTCTCCTAGCCCTTGGTTTTGAACACGCTTTCCGGTATGCAACAATGCTTGGGCTTTTCATTGGTGACCAAAACCTACATGAATATAAAAACTCAAAGTATCAAGATGGGTTCTTGACTAGACAATGTTTGAAATGAAAACAGAGGCACTAAGAATCTGCAATTTACTTTGCTCTCTGTGACACCCTACATTCATGTATTCACTTACCCAGGAAATTTATTTACTGTGTACTGGTCCTTGTAGTGAGCAAAGGGTAGAGAGAGAAATGAAGACATGAGTTTGCCCTCAGACAGCACTTAGGGTCACATGGGAGAGAGTCATGAAGCAAATGTGAATATACAAAACACAAGCAGGTAGGGGTGGGGAACATGGAGCCAGTGGAGGCTGCCCTCCTGGACCTCCTGGCCTGCCTGCTGTGGAGTTCTGCCCTGACCGGAGCTACTCTCTGGGTCAGCCATCACTTTGATAGAACTGGACTTAGGGTAATGGATACAGTTAGCCTCTATGAGTTTTTTTTTAGTTAATCTATAAGTGAAGAAAATCAGACCCTTGATACCAACCTTGGAGGGTAGTAATGCAGGTCAAGTGAAATAATGTTTGTGCAAGTGCATTATAAACTGTAAGGGCAATTCAAATACTAGTTACTGAAATTACTATATACTTCTAGGAAAGGGCGTTCTGAAGGTAGGAGAGATTAAATAAACTATGGCAATTCTTCCATATATTTTCTTGCTTGAGTAAAGTATTTCACAATTCACAAATAAGTAAATCATGGCATGTTATACAATGAAACATGATGGTGCCATTAAAAATCATGAGATAGTTTATTGACATGGAAAAACATTACAATGGGGTTGGACATGAAACAATACACTTTAATAAAAATATTAACAGGATGTGTATATACACAATTTAACATACATATCGCATTAAAAATTATTTAAATATTAGCAGTATGTTTGGGTATTAGAATTGAGAGTTTTGTTTTTGTTTTGCTTATCTGTACTTCAAGTGTTTTTCTATGACCAATGCATAATCTTTAGTTTAAAAAATTACTGAGAGGATTTTTGAAACTCATTTAACAAAAGAAGTAATAATCCTGGGGACTGGATCTGGTCACGTCCCTAGGTTGTCACCAACATCCCAGCTAGAAGGATTAAGAAATTTTCAGAACCTATCTTTTATCTAAAGGGAAAACTTACAGATTTCAAATTTTGGGGCATCCTGAGAGGAAATGAATCAATTACTCTCTACTCAGCTTCTGCATTTCCAAAATGAGGGTCAAAATCTCTACCCATGAGTCCAGAGTTGTGAACAGAGCCAGAGCTGGGAAGAACAGCATGCTGGCCACATCACCCTCTAAGCACTTTCTCCCACAGGTATGCCTATGCATTGAGTTTTTTCCCCCTCTCAGAGTTTTTGGATTTCATTGCAGTGACTTTTAAGTGAATATGATCACTAGTTGGTTGCTAAGATATTAAGAGGAAGTAAGCAAAGGGAGACCTTCAGAGACAGAAGTCACAAAAGTTCAGGTTTTTTGTATACCGCTGCCACCAAAGACACTGGTCTCCTTGCTAGCTCCTCAGCCTCCCCAACTATATACCATCCTACAGGAAGCTGGGTAAGTATCTGGAAGATATTATAAAAGTAAGGCACTGAACTTTAAATCAATTGATTTAAATCAATCAATGTAAAATGCCACTTCATTTAGCAGAGTATCTTTGAGATGATCACTTTATATCTTTTTTACTAATTGCTAATGGTGGGTTTCTTTGTTTTCTTATTAATAAGATCTGGTTACAGAAAAAGACAAGAACCATATGATTTCATTCATATGTGGCATATAAAGAAAACAAATAAACATATGAATTAATTAAAACAAAAGTAAACTTTGAATTATTAAGGCCAATTAGTGGTTACCATAAGGGAAGAAAGATAAATAAGGAAAAAGGGGACAATGCTATGGTGAAGGATAGACTTGGGCTCTTAGCGGTGACCTGAATGTAGTATATACACATGCTGAGTCTCAGTGTGAACACCTGTTAAGTTACATAATGTTATAGTGCAATGTTACTTCAATTGAAAAAAAAGTAAGGTCAGATTATGATGAGATATATATGTAATATAATCACAAAGAAATGGTCTGAGAAACAATAGCCTATATCAATAAGCTTTGTAAACTATAGCACGATATCTAAACATGGTATGAGCAGTACTTAGAGAATTAGAAAAAGAAAAAGAATTCTATTTCTCTTATTCTCATGGCCTTAAGGGGCTGGGTTAGTTAATAGGGAGCAGTTGGGATGATAATGGCTACCAGAGTCGAGTGATTTGTGAAGAAACTGCCTGCTGGTTATGGCAAAATGATCTGACCCCCAGCCAGCTTGCCTGTGTACTCCCTTTTTTTCCTCCCCTTCCTCCTCCTCTGGCACTTCCAGGGGTCCATAAAGAATCACAAGAAGAGTCTGGAAGTCTTCTCAAAACAAAGAAGGCAGGCGCGGGTGAAAGGAGATGGCCTGGCAGAGATGGAAGTTGTTTCATCTGTCCTGCCTCTACTGTCCCAGCTGCTGCCAGCCTGGAGAATTCTGAATGGAACATTACACACTCCTGGCAGCCTCTCTCTTTGTTGAGGCAACATAAAAGCGGCCCTGAGAGCTGCCAGCAGAATGACTGCACGCTGAGGAGATAATCTGCAGGTCCTCCTTCCCTTTCCGAGACCACAGCTTGATTTTCCAGGGCCGTCACTCAGATGAAGACTTACAGAGGGCCTGTCAGCAGGGGTGCGCTAGGTGACAACATGCCGCAGGGAAGGGAATTAAATGAAGATTAGTGGGGCAGAAGATCCTCACAAAGCCGAGTCGTCACAAGGCACATGGAGAAAGGACACGGGACTATGGGCTCACACCTCACCGCCATAGGCCGCCCTCTACGGATCAGGAATGGCTACTGCCATCAGGATAACAGCACATCCTTCAAAGAGCTATAGTGAGGGCCAAGGAGATGATGCTTATGAAAAGTTAGCACCAGTGCCTGGGACACAGTATATGCTCAATAATTTTGTTTTTATTATTAACTCTTACCAGCAAAGACCAAGGCAGGTAAGAACAGCCAAACCTCACATAAAAACTTCTGCTAAACTAGAATATTTAGCAACCTAGCATTGAATTCTGGCTGCCTTTTCTCTTATGAAGTCTCTGAAAGTATAGCTTCAGTATACCTCTCCACACCACAATGCTCTCTCCTCCCTTACTGAAAATATTACTTTTCTGATTATTAATAGTGCTTGATCCAAATGGAATTTTAAAAAACTCATCTATTCTTTCCCTCTGCTTTCAAACATGTTGATTTCTACTCCAGCCCAGCCAAATCACTAATTATTCTCAGAGAAGACACGAGAGTTGGGAACTGGAAATGGCTTTCCCACAGGCTCACTTTATAAATTATGTGACTCAGACCTAGGGATAGGAAGTGAGTTAGTGGCAGAGCTGAGGATATATGGGTTGAGAGTCCCTGCCTCAGCTATACCAGCCCATCTGCTGTCCAGATAATGAGGAGACTTGAAGGAACTGTTAATTAGTCTCACTAGGTATGCCATGGGATAGAAACTGTGCTTTAAAAAGTTTCATCTGTTAGGATTACATACAGAAGTATTTATAGATAAAAACAGCATCTACAGTTAGCTTTAAAAAATACTCCAGCAGGGCCTCCCTGGTGG